GCGAGGGGCGCGTCCGCGGGTGGGTTTCACGTGGGTAGTGGGCATGTCGGGCTCGCTAGGGCGAGGGTCTGGCCGGGGGCGTAGTTGTCCTGGCGGGTGGGGACGCTCTGTGGCGATTGGGGTGACTCCTCTGAGGGCGAGGTCGCTCCCGGGCTGGTCTGGACGCCCCCGCCCTTTCCTTAGAGTCACCCGTGAGTTCCGTGCTCGCATCTCTAGCCCGCCCTCCCATAGAGACAGTTTTGCCGCGCCTGCTGGGGTCCGGGTCCGTCCCTGGGGTAACCCCCGAGTCTACCGCTTTTCTGCTGGCTGGTGGGAGGGGCAGTGTGGGCTTGGGTCGGCCTCCGGCTGAATTGGTGGCCGTGAGCCAGGGGGCTGAGCTGCTTCCCCTTTCAGTCTCGCAGGTGTTAGATCACCTGTGTGTTTTTTCCATTTGATATTGCAAAATCATGTTTTACCGCAGTTCTCAGTGAGGGCCGCATTTTTGCACCTGTTTAGTGACCATTTCGCTGTCTTTTTCCTTGGTTTAGTGGCTTATTTCCTTTGTGCACTCTCCCAGTCTCAATATTTTATGACAGAAAATGTTGGTTTAGATAGAGAAGCTGAAAGACTTGTGCAGTGAAAGACCCCGTTAATATCTGCTGAATTTACTGTATCCCTTACCTTTCCTTCTGTCCATCCTTTCAGCCATCCATTAATCCACCTATTTTTGGAAACATGTCAAAGTAAGCCGCATATATCACAACACTTCTCCCTCAGACAGCTCACTATGCTTACCATGAATTAGAGTTCAATAGTGCTTTTTTAAATTTTTTGAGCCAAAATTGACTTTCAGTGAAATGCACAGATCTTCACTGTACCATTGATGAGTTTTGACAAGTGCAACCTAAACCTTTATTAAAATTACCATCAGCCCGAAAAGGTCCCTTATTTTTTGCCAAGTAAAAAAATTTGGCTGTTGGAACTTGGGCTTGTTAAAGTACGTTTTGAATACCCAGCTTTTGTCTGTTTTTCTTTTCCCGCAGCAAGTGACTTTCCTCCATTCTACTGCTTGTTTCCCTCTCTCTTCACCCAGCTTTTCATTTTGAAAAGTTCCACAGTTGCATAAAAGTTGCAGGAATAGTTTAATACTTGTAAAACCATCCAGATTCTCAAATTATTAACACTTTTTGCCACATCAGCTTTATCTTTCTCTTCTCCCTGCCTCAAACACATGCATAGGTGTTACCAGAAAGGGGGACTGGAGCTATACCCCAAGAAAGGGTTCTTTTATCTTGGGAAAGAAAATTCAGGGCGAGTCCACAGAGTAAAGTGAAAGCAAGTTTATTAAGAAAGTAAAGGAATAAAAGAATGGCTACTCTATAGATAGAGCAGCCCCAAGAACTGCTGGTTG